GAACAAACAAAACCAAATTGGAGAAACCGATTCGAGTATCAGTGGAGATCTCGAAGATCTGAAAGCCCAGGTCCTAAACGAAACAGAAGTTGATGTCCCACTGACAGGGATAAAGCGAGACAATACATCATCAGTGACGTCACTTTCCCGTTATCCTTCGACCAATGAAACCAACTTAGCTCCAATTTCTGAAGAGTTCAACTCAACAGTTCAGGTTGAGATTGTCAATGAAATAACTCCAGAAATTCCAACCCATACACAAGGGAAAACGTTTTCAGAAGCTTCCGCTTCTTTCAACTCAACTGATGACGTCACCCACAAAGATACTTCTTCCCTCGCAGATGCACCGAGAGTTGGATCAGAAGATGAAGAAGGAATCATACAAGAAAGTAGTGAACTGTCTTCACGTTCGAATCGTTCTTCGGAAACGAAATACCATCAAGAACCACTGAAAAGTCGCGTTGGAACAAACAGAGTGACTGCTTCTTCGGTTTCCCTACAACCGAAAAATGGTTGGCTATGAGGCAAACTAGTTCCCACCCCACCCACGCAAACAAATAACAACTAACAATTCTACCACTGGGACATAAAAATGATTAACTGTGACGTTAGCCAATCTTCCACACCTACAACCGATTAAAGACTATCTGTGACCTGAACCAATCTTACACACCTACAACCGATTAAAGACTAACTGTGACCTGAACCAATCTTACATACCTACAACCGATTAAAGATTAACTGTGACCTGAACCAATATTACAAACCTACAACCGATTAAAGATTAACTGTGACCTGAACCAATCTTACATACCTACAACCGATTAAAGACTAACTGTGACCTGAACCAATCTTACATACCTACAACCAATTAAAGACTATCTGTGACCTGAACCAAACTTACACACCTACAACCAATTAAATATTAACTGTGACCTGAACCAATCTTACATACCTACAACCGATTAAAGACTATCTGTGACCTGAACCAATCTTACATACCTACAACCAATTAACGACTAACTGTGACTTGAACCAATCTTACACACCTACAACCGATTAAAGATTAACTGTGACCTGAACCAATCTTACATACCTACAACCGATTAAAGACTAACTGTGACCTGAACCAATCTTACATACCTACAACCGATTAAAGACTAACTGTGACGTGAACCAATCTTACACACCTACAACCAATTAAAGATTAACTGTGACCTGAACCAATATTACATACCTACAACCGATTAAAGACTAACTGTGACCTGAACCAATCTTACATACCTACAACCGATTAAAGACTAACTGTGACCTGAACCAATCTTACATACCTACAACCTATAACGAACTAATTTTTAACTGTGACGTGAACCAATTTTTTCGTGACGTAATTACTACTACACTACTAATATTTAGAGTAAATTCAATAAAATAATTTGTAACAATGATTAGAAATATAAACTAGTTTTAATACTCTCTTAGTTTGTGTTATATTTTTTTTGTTGTTGAAGAATACATTTGTGGTATTAAAATTATTAAAACTTGTGTTTGATGTTTAGTTAACGAAACATTTAAATCTAACAGCCTTCAGGAACGTTCGAGATACTCATTACGTGTTACCAGTTCACGTGACTTCCGCTGTCGTAACATTGAATAATTGTTACTTCAGCGAGTTATTTATTATATCAAGTAAAATGTTGCTATAAGCCCGGTTCGTGCACAAGCAGCGCAGTTGTTAAGCCTAACACAACACTTAAAAAGAGTAAGTTTTGTAAACAAGTTGTCATCTAATGGTTTAATTCTGGAAGTAAGTAAATCGTGAAATCAGGAGTTATGAAAAAAATCCCAAAAATGTTACGTGTCTCGTAAATTCATCTGTTCTTCCACATACGAGCACCAGTTTTATTGATAATAACACTAACAGTAACTGCCCATACCTTAGTGAACATTACCTGTTTAAATCTTTGCTGCTACCTGGTGGTGGCGACCAACCTAAATTGTAATAATTCGTACTATATTAATAATAACATAACATTTCAAAATAATTATTTACATTACAAATCTATAGTTGTCCTCACCCCGAACCCTGTAATGTTTAACCACCTGGACGAAAAACTGGTCATTTATTAATTTTTTCACTTCAGTAGTCAAGTGTTACTCGTCATTTCGACTCATCTTATTCAAAAACCAAAACTCATCTACAGAAGACTGTAAGCAGCAAGCCTTTGATCAAACTCAAAGATACTTCTATAAAATTTGGTAAAGAGTTGAAATTCTTCGTGACGGAGATAGGTATTTTTGAAACTATTACTGAACAATGTCTGTGTTTCCAGCTTGATGTGCAGTATAAGTATCATTATTGTTTTGAGGTTTAGTTTGACTTAAAATTAATAATGTAAAAGGGGATTTCATAATACGGTATCAAGCACAAGGCTACACAATGGGTTATCTATACTGAGCCCACCGTGGGTATCTAAACACGATTTTTAGCGTGATGAGTCCTCAGACTTACCGCTGATCCAAGGAGGGGCCCTAAGGACAGAAACAAGACAGTAACCGAATTTAATTTTAGTTAGGCCCTGAAAAAAAAGCACAAAATATTAAATCAACATATTTTCCAGAGCTTGTCAATGAACTAAGATGGGATGGAGCCCTTAATTTGTGTCTAACCTTTCTGTGGAATCCATAACAGTGGTTTGTTCGTATTGAAATTGACTCATGAAATTATTGTAGTTTACTGATGTTTAAAATGTTTCGGACAAAAATTAAAATTTCAAGAGGCTTGTTTTTAAAAAGCAGAAATAACTGGTTGGTCAATTAGTATTAATCCTACCCCAAAATGAGGTCAGGATATCCTGACCTCTTAGAAAAATGGAGTTATTGTGTCAGATTAACAATATTAAACATGATAAACTCAACTTTTCTACAAAATATTTTGGCTTAGATGTTTATTTTAATATGGGACAACTTTGAAGAAGTTGTTATTTACTTATAACCTATCTAATAAGTATGAAATTGAAGTTAGAACATATATAGTAGTTAGGTGTTTGAAATCTTATCAGTTGTAATACCATTTCACCAAACATTAAAATGATAATAATTTCTTCCACCCTATGCTGATATTAAATAGTTTCACTACTGACCAGTGTTGTAACACTATTCTTTTGTTATTCGGATTCCAATCCATGTAAATCAGTTTATTTATTTATTTTTGTTTTACGTTTCTACAAACTTGGACACTTGTACACTGTTGTAACGTGTAGTAGGCCTACATTTACAAACGACACTACCTGCACTACACTAACGCAATAAATAGACTTATTTGCATAAAGAAACTCAATATGCGCAGTAGCTAACACAGATCAAGCTACTTTATTAAGAACAAAAGCACAATGACTAATTCACTCTACCGATTCGAAACGACTCAAATATATTGAAAAAACTCTCAATTTTCTTAACTATCTTTTCTTAACTATTTTGTATCCATAATCTACCCTCGAAAGTACCAGAATATCAGACGTCCAATCTCCAAAGTTTTCTAGGCTTAATTAAAAACATTATTATAACATGCAACTTCCTCTAGCTATCAAACAAATTCCAACATTGAAAATATAGCTTATAACAATAGTATGAGCTTCGGTATCTGGTGTGCTTTATCTACTACAATGATAATCAACTATTTTAAATAGCTAAGATTTATAAGTTATTTAAACTTTTCGCGACGTTTTATTGTTTGTTTTAGTATGAATTATCTTAATAAATAGGAGGTAGTTGAGTAAGCACAATGTTTTGGATGGTCGAATACAACTGCATAATAAAATAGCTGGTAGTATTCGTTGTTTTACTCTTTGAAGTTACAAGTGGAAACACGAGTTGGTAACATATTGTTACGACAGCGGAAGTCACGTGACTCTAGTAACACGTGATGAGTATCTAGAAGATTCACGAAGAGACGAGATGTACGCTTTAATAGTATATAAGCCGGCAAATAAAGTGACGGCAAGATAATTGCAGATAGAGAGATTGAAGATATAGACACGAATAATCGAGTCAAGCGTGCACAGTAAGTGAAGTGCGTGAATCGTTGTGAATTATAGCGTGAGTTGAAGTGAAAGTGACTGTGGAAATTAAGTGTACTGCAAAGTTGAATTGAGAAAGAATAAACTAGTTTTATTTAAGAAAGGACTTGTATCGCAGAAGTTTCTTCGGAAAGAATTTCTACGGAAAATTAACAAACGAACATAGACGTAACAATATTATTTCTGTAATGTATTTTATTGATACTTTCACTAGTTTTAGGACTGAATAAACGTAAGTTATTCAACATTTAATAGTACATTCCAGTTACAGGGCCGAAAGCTCGAAATAAAAATAAAAACAGTTTTATAACCTGGTTAACAGTCATATTAATTTAATTTAATTTTAGAAGTTTTTGATAACAAACTTCCTTGTCAAACGAGCAGTGTCATAAGCTATAATCACTTCTGTGAAACGCATAGCAAGCATGAATGAAATTACAGTTTTATTCTTCCGAAGTGAAATCACATCCTCAAAAACACATAATAATACATAAATGTTAACTCTTTAATCATTTGTGCATTATCATGCCAGTACGTTATTGCTGCTTTTTTATAAATTTACACGATATACTTCTCCTTCTTTAAATAAATCTTTCACAATGTACCACAATTTTCATTTTGTAACAAAAATTTATTGTAGAATTGCTCTTAATAAACTAATATTTCTTCTATTACTGTATTTTTCAATAGATGGCGCAATAAAGTTTAACACGACCAAGCTTTTACTGTCTAACTTTAATTGCGAATTTTAAAGCGTTCAAGGACACTAAACATTAAATCTCCGAAATATCTTATATTTTTTGAAAATTACAAAATACACATTCTATAAGTTATTTATAGTATTTACAAAACATAAAATAGACTTCTTGCATAATATTAGTAAAAGGTTAAAAATAAACTTCGCAAGCTTACAGAGTAAATCGTCTGCTAAGTTTATCGAGAAGCGACGTTGCTGTTGTCACGTAGCATTAGTACTAACGGTAACAGAAGTACATGAAAATATTTTACCAGTTCGTAATGTCTTTTACTTTTTCATAAATTCTAAATTATTTGGATTTATAATTATCCATTCTAAAGTAATTATTCGTAGCGTATCGGAATTGTAAGTACGAAGTAATATAGTAAAGATACCTGATTTCGCTGTTATCTGTATTTATTAATTGTCGAACAGTTTTTTAATATGGCGGCCTGGGTGAAGAAGTTGCGAGGTAGGAATGTTAATCAAATTTTATTTACGTAATATTAGTTTTTTCATGATTATTATACCAAGGATAAAAATAATAGACTAATACAAATATTGTTTGTTGTTATTCTTGTTTTTTAAATTCTGCATAGTTTTAATTTAATATATGATCTTGTTTTAGAGTTTTATTTTATCTTATTTTTAGTAGAAAATACATTTCAGTAATTAGTTCGATAAGAATAGAAACTAAGTAGCAGTGCGTAATAGCTAATTACTCTGTTCGACTCAGAAATTCGGGATATATTTTTTTTCTTCGAGTCAGGATCACACTGAAGCTAGCTGATCGTTGTACCTGTTGGAATTTAGAGTATCGAGTGATATCAGATATTACAATATGATTGGAAATATTTTAAGAGCTTCGTTCATAACTGATTCAGTATGGATTAGAAGTGAGTGTTTGAGTCTCAAATTCACTGCTCTTTCCCTTTCAGAAAATTGTTGCAATCTGCCAATAATAAGAGGTTCGACAGAAAATTTATTACGGACCAAAGACGAGTTTCTGAACTTGTCTGAGTTTGTAGTTAAAAAGAGACTGGACACAGTGTAAACAAAGTGCAAAGTAATCTATATTAATTTTTTAAATCAGAGGTTCATGGGTGCGCTTGACGACCAATGGTTGTGCTTGACGAATAAGATAGCACTTCTGTACCACTGTTTAAAGACGTTTTCTGACATAATTCTGGAACAAGGTTCAATAAAACCTCGGTACGATGCTCAACTACTATATACAAACCAATAAGACCATCTCTCCTTAACCACGTCACTAGTGGTCATCCTAAAAGTAAAACAGAGGAGATAACTTCAAGGTGTCACAAGAATTGCCAATGGTTTAAGATCACTATCAACATCTACATCAAAATTTCCCGCGAGAGAATTCATGTGGCACCAAAGGGGAATGACCCAGAGCAATGTATAACTAGAAAGACGGAAATTTAGTCACTTTTCAGAACCAACTCTATTGGTAAATCTAAATACGCGCTGGAACGCTTATTTTGAAAATTATTGAACAAACAAGAGATATTCGTCTATCTAAACAAGAAAATGACGAGAAACATACCATACTAGTATTCATGCATACTACACCACTAAGAATAGGAAGAGGGCGCAATTAAATTTGAAAATTGCCCTTTAAAAAAGTAAAAAGAAATCACTTGAATATTTATAAAACTCTTATTATACAATTTAACTCTTACAATCAAAACATAGTCCGTACCAATCTCTCATTTACCGAAGTAATTGATACTAATGCATACAATAAAACGTCAGAAGTTACTTATAAATACCAAGGGATAAACCCATTATTATTTTCGAATACTGTAGCGGTTAAAATCATTTTTGCGTTCAAGCACAAATGTAAAAGGTGAATAACGGGTGTTTTATGTCAAAATTATTATTGACCAGCGTATGAGTCCAAGCAGAACGCCGTTTCGGTATTTATTTTGGTAGCCGAAGCGGAATTCCGGCATTTTTTGTAACGACGCCGCTACAATAGCAGTATTCTATGATACATTTTCACGTGCAGTCAAATTCTAACATAGTTTGCTGCGAAAATATTTTTATCTATTGTCAAAAATTCGTTTTGGGATGTTGTGACAGCTGCCTAATCACAAATGGGAATGAAATATCACGTATTATTGTGTATTTATTGTGTGTGTGTGTGTGTATAACATTTTCCGCAGATGTGATTCAATTCACATTTTCTTTTAGGCTCAATAAAACTGGTTGTTTCTAATTATATCCCTAGCGGTGCTCGATCCCGGGACACTGTAATATTACAAGAACAGTAAAAATTAATAAAACGTAACGAAGATTTAAGCAATAAGTTAGACGAAACGGAAACTAAAGCTAAAAACTGTTTAAAACTAGTGATATTGCAAAAACTATGATTTCTGTTCGGAAAGTCCCCCGCTGGGATAGCGGTAATTCTACGGATTTACAACGCTAAAATAAGGGGTTCGATTCCCCTCAGTGGACACAGCAGATAGCCCGATGTGACTTTGCTGAGAGAAAAACCCACTGTTCTGAAAACATTTTAAACATTTTATTCACTGTTACTATTATTAAACTAATCAGCTGATCATACCGTGATTTAGGTGTCTGATACAAGGGCGTAAATAATAATAATTAAATAAATTCGTCTGTAACAGTATATACAGTATGGATTTGCTGTTTGCTTCATCAAGCGATGTGTATTAATTCGCTTGAAATAACAGAATTGTTTATTTACTTACTTACTACTTTCACTACTATAATTTGGGAACTCTTATAGTCATCAAATTCAGTTATTTGAGGTAGCCTGTTTATTAAATTATGTTATATTTTCGTCTGGTAAGATATATGTTAGTGGTCTTCGTTGAACAGAGTTTTCAATATTTGTTTAACAACAAGTAAAAACTTGAAATGGTCTATTCTTTCATGGGGGGGTCTGTGTGCCAGACTAGTTTCGGAGAATTCCACTCCTCATCAGTGACCCTGGACACTACCATCGACTCCTCACTACTGTAAGGGCTTGGTTTGAAGGGGAAAAAACACTGACAGTAGTTGAAAACATACTGCAAAAATGTTGTTTCGAAAAAATATACCAGGAAAAAAACTTCACAAAATACTGAAAAATGGGATTGACTGTCATATTATAATGACCCCAAGGCTGAAAGGGCAAGCGTGTTTGATGACTGGATCCGAACCCGTTGTTTGTTGTTAAGCATAAACATACACAATGAGCTAGCTGTTCTGTGCCTACCACGAGTATCGAAACCCGGGAAATAAGCTGTTCAGAACTTGCCGCGTTTTTCACAAAGCCTCTCCAAATGATGTATTTGATTTGAAGAAAGTAAACAATAGAACAAAAAAACGCCTAGTTATATTATTAACAAGTTAAAAACTGACTTTTAAGATTCAAATCTTTTAATAAAAAATAATATGAAATAGTAAATTAATTTTAACACTAAAACAACCTAAAATTGTGCATTAATTAAATTATTTTGTTTATAAATAATTTAATTTAATTATAAAACTAAGCCTAAAGTGACGGATTCGGTCAACGAAAAAAGGTAATAACAAGTATTTGTAACCCTGACTTAAATGTGTTTATATAGGTAAATATTACAATGTTGGGAAATGGTAAACAAAAAAGCTCTACAAAATAATTGTTGCCAGTTTGAACATATAAACTTGAAATTTTAATGTGAGATTTTTTTGTCAGTTTGTAGAGCCTAGACGGGTAATGTTAGTGGATGTATTTTTTCCCTCTACTTATTTTTATAATTTCATTAATTTAAGGTCAAAGCCTAGCTTTTGTAATTAGAAAATGGTACTCGACAGAACAGCGATTCTCCAAAATAACAACGCACTACTCAGTTATTCCAAGGGAAACCGATCAGAGATGGAAAGGTAATATTATGTATTTCATGTTATAAATGTCAAGTAGTAATAATAATAATAATAGAAATTTTGCATATTATTTAAGAAGCACATTCTCATAATGATGTTGCGCAGAAATCTTGTACAGGTGATGATGTTTTGGCAGTTTTTTTCTTCTCAATTTATTTTTATTATAACTTTTAACACATATTCTGTGTTTATTTCTTTATCATTAGTTTCAACAGGTGACAACTAGAGTAATTAAAAGCAGAATCACTTGGCAATAATTGTAAATACATTTAATCCGAAGTTTTGGATCTTTCTTATTATTGTTTTACCATAAAACATGATTTCAGCACAGTTTATCAAAAATCCGAAATATTGCTCAGCTTTAAATAGAGTTTGAAGTAAAATACCAGTTTAAATACTGCACAATTGTTACATATTTAAAATTAAAGAATCATGTTTAGAAATATGTTTTTAAAATGAAAGAAAATTATGCAAAAAATTAAACATTTGGAATTCACAGAGGTATGACTTTTCTGACAAACTTTTAACAAAAATAAAACAATTTTCTATGAATCGGGATGTTTTTGAAGTACTTAGATTTAAGGTACCTGAAAGCTGTTTGTCTTATAACACTTGTACTTTTGTCAACATTTACACAAACAGGTGTATGTAATCCCTTGTATGGTTTGTGTTGGAGGGAAAACAATATGAACAGTATGAAAATAGCAGTCATGGGATAAGTTTAGGGTAGGACAAAACTGAGTATGTATTTGTTTCAATTAAAATATAGTTTTCTTATTCTGTAAAAAACATTAATTAAATTGTTTTAAGTTTTCTTTGTAATATTTTATTTAGTACCAACTCTATGTAATAACAATTCTTATAAAATATATTTTTTGTTATAATTGAAAGTTGGTGAAGATCTTGTAAAGTATTTAAAGTCAGAAAGTTTATCTGTTTACATGTGAGACAAGGTTTGTGGTGAAAACTAAATATGAAATATTTAGTTTTCCTTAACAGTATTCACTGATTCACACAGGCATGACACACTTGTAACTAGTTGGGCATCCTGTGTATGTGCAAAGAAGGATCTGAAAGTTGTCCTTGAATTTAAACTTAGTTAAATCTGAGGCAATGCTTTGTCTTTAAAGTTCATAATAATTGTAGAGGCAGTGTACGATTGTATATAAAACTAATTACCAAGTCTAGAGAAGGAATGACTGTATATGAAATTAATTACCAAGTCTAGAGAAGGAATGATTGTATATGAAACTAATTACCAAGTCTAGAGAAGGAATGACTGTATATGAAACTAATTACCAAGTCTAGAGAAGGAATGACTGTATATGAAACTAATTACCAAGTCTATGAAAGGAATGATTGTATATGAAACTAATTACCAAGTCTATGAAAGGATTGATTGTATATGAAACTAATTACCAAGTCTATGAAAGGATTGATTGTGTATGAAACTAATTACCAAGTCTATGAAAGGATTGATTGTGTATGAAACTAATTACCAAGTCTATGAAAGGATTGATTGTGTATGAAACTAATTACCAAGTCTATGAAAGGATTGATTGTATATGAAACTAATTACCAAGTCTATAAAAGGAATGATTG